ATGTATGCATGCATGTATGTATGTATGTATGTATGTATGTATGTATGTATGTATGTATGCATGTATGTATGTATGTATGCATGTATGTATGTATGCATGCATGTGTATGTCTGTATGTATGTATGTCTGTCTGCCTCTCTCTCTCTCTCTCTCTCTCTCTCTCTCTCTCTCTCTCTCTCTCTCTCTCTCTCTCTCTCTCTCTCTCTCTCTCTCTCTCTCTCTCATTGTGGTTGAATATTGTACTTTTTCCAACGTTTTGTAGCCCCAGTAAAAGTGAGACGTTTGCCAAGTGAATTTATTTTGTTTTAAAATGTGTCGCACCTAATTCATAAATATTTTTGTCTTTGGCTGTAGTGACTTTTGTATCGTTCCTGTGTTTACTTTTTGCTGATCTAAAACAGGGGTTGGTTATAGCTTTTTGTTTGTTTGATGTTGGTTATTGTTTGATTGTTTGTGGTTGTTTCGGTTGTTTTTTCTTGTTCTTTTGTTTGTTGTTGTTTGTTGTTGTTGTTGTTGTTGTTGTTGTTGTTGTTGTTTTTGTGTTACTGATTGGGTTGTTTTGTTGGGAGGGTTTTAGGGGAGGGGGGTGCTCTGTTTTGGTGAGATGTTAATTTTTTTAATTTTTTTTGGAGGGAGGAGGGTTGGAAAGATTTTGAAAAACAGGGTCACATTAACAACAAAAACAATAAATTTGAAACGCTAAATTAAAAAGAGAAAAGGAACCACAGAAGATGGTTGAACAGAAGCAACATTGGCACTCACCAGCTTTGCATGGATTCATGTACAGGTCGTCGGACGTTCGTCTTGGAATGTTTTCGGCAGTGGCGGGGAACAAAACACACTGCAGCACCAAGGCACAAGTACACAAGCAAAACAGATTGATGATTCTGTTAGCAGTTCGAACAGGAGCAACTTTTCGCACTGTGTTCTCCATGGCGCGCTCTCTAAAATATAGAAACATTTGTTCAAAACCGCAATGCACAGATTCAGTCAAGGTGGAAGCACAACCCTTAAACGAGCACCAGCGCGATGAGCCTGTCAATCATACCTGTCTGAATGATAGCTAGATCTAGAAACAGAAAATGCGCGTTAAAAAGTGTGTAGTAGAAGCTAGAAGTGTGAAACTAAAGGGGAAAAAATACAATACAAAAACCAAAAAATAAATAAATGGAAAAAAAAACCAAGCTAAAGCCAAAAATAAATAAATAAATAAGTTCTCCAAACACCAAAACTAAGAGCCGTAAACTGACTGCTCCAACTTAGCAAGCAGATCTACTTTCGCTCCGCGCCAACCAGTTGACTGATATTCTGATTTAAAACTCAAAACAGCTACAACGTAGTGGGAGACTTTCGAATTCCATTCCGCAGCTGGCCTTCTCAAGCTCCCATATAAAGCTTAATTTTTTGTTTTTACGGCTCAAGCAGCGAAATTCTATACATCGTATATATTATACCTATCAAAGACGACGAAGAAAGAAAAAAAAATCCTCAATGTGAAAAAAAAAAAATTAACAGCAATCCAGAAGGAGGTGTTTTTGTTCGTCCCCTTGACTTATTACCTTCTGCATGTACAGCCACAGAGTTGTGGTATTTCAACCATTGAATCAAATTAATATATATACTCTCAGCGAAGAGTTTCAAAGCAGAACAGGAAGAGCGTAACAACCCGTGGTGAAAACTGGCCGTGTGCGTTATCTAAGAGCAGATCTGCCAGCGACCGGCTGGCCGAGGACGCACTAAGCCCACGCACGGGATGGGCCTTCCTCCGCCACTTGTGAGTAATCGTGTTTACTGTCTTGCGTGACGTAATACGGGCCAGAACGATTATAATATCGATTGAAGGCAAAGATCAAGTCTGCAACAACAACACCCCTGATTGTTTCCACGATAAATGAATAATTCCACACTCCGAAAGGGCGTCTCTGGTTATTCATTCGGACAAACGCTTAAAGCCGATGATCGTTGCTGGCTCTTAATGTTAGAGAGCGACTCATGACTCAACACAATGAAGAAATATATAATAT